TCTGCATGGCAAGACCACAGCTGCACTCCCGGAGCCCCCGGGCTGCATCGGAGCTATAGGTTCACTTACAGCAGCTAATGCCTCTTGGGAATGGTCTGGTCCTTGACAGCTGAGGCGTGATTGATGCATGCCCAGGCTTCCCAGCCAGGGGCATCTCCATCCCAGGACACAGCAGGGACGCACTAAATGCTCCCAGCGTGATGCCAGAGCCACCCCCAGCTCCACCAGTCCCCCAGCAAGGCCAGCCCCATGACCCACAGAGAGCAGGTGACATCCCTGTATGAGATCTTGGGGTGGAAGAGACTCAGCTCCAGCTGTTTTTGCCGAACTCTGGGCACCAACTTGCACGTAGCCTCTTGATCTCCTTCAATCAGGCCAGGGTGCCCTGGGCTCCACTCAAGGGCTCTGGCCCAGGCATCTGCAGCTGATGCCCTGGGCTAGTGTCTGTGTCTCAGCTCCTCTCAGCCATGCTGCCCTGCTTCACTTCCCCATCCACTTGCCAGCCCCCCACGTTGAGAGTCCATCTCTTGCACTGCTGATAGCTCCACCCTGCTTCGCCCTTGCACCCATGTCTGGCCAGGTGCCCACCCTGGCATTAGGCCCTCCTGCCCTGCTCCAGGCCCACCCTCACCGCCTGGCACAGGGACTGACACTTGTCACTGGTTTCAATTCCTTGTGAAGGGAGAAGCAAAGTAGCGGGGAAACACTCCCAGCGGCTCCCACCACTCGCTGGGCCTCCTGCTGCAGGCAGCATGTGAAGATGTTCTGCTTCATGTCATTCAGCCCTCAAAGTGTGCCCTGACCCCCGGCCCTACCTGACTCAGCCCAAGACCATGGAGTGGACGGGGGCACAGAGAAAGGGGACAGGTGTCTGTGTGTGTGGATGAGGATGAGGATGTGGTTCATGAGTCCCAGTTGCTGCTTCTCTAGGCAGAAGGTGCGATCCCAGGCATCCCAGCCACGCTCCTGGCTCAGGTCACAGTCACCTTGTCAAGCAAATTCTCTGCACTTCTCTAGAGATCCTGGCATTGTGCTCCTCCCCAGATGCAGCTGCATTTCAGCAGTAGGAAAGAGAGGGTAAGGGGAACAGCTGCATTTCAGCAGTAGGAAAGAGAGGGTGTGGGGACCCCCCTACCACTCAGGCCTGTGTCAGTCCATATAGCTGCCCTGGGAGGTGCTTTTTTTCCCTTTCCAACTGGCTGGAAATTGGACTGCAGCTCTCACAGGGCCAGTGCTCTGCTCCTATGCATCCATCCTCCATCAGGTGAGGCCATTTAGGCAACACAGGAGGTAACCATGCCTGGCAGGGCTGTGGGAGGATGCTGGCTGGCTGGTGGTAGCACTTTCCCTTTGGTGCCTGATGGAGTCTGCCAGAGACACTGGAGAGCATCAAGACAGATGAGTGTGAGGCTTGTTCTCCCCTGTTAAGGGGAAGATGTGACCAGGCAGGATAGGGGTGGGGAGCCAGGAGATAATGAGGCCTTATCAGCCCTGTCTTCCTGCAGGAGCAGCTGCCAAGATCAGAGCCAGTGGCCTGAGGAAGGTGTGGGGCACCAGGGAGGAGTGACTCCCTGAGCCGTGGGTGGAGGAAGATGGGTTTCGTAGGCACGGCAATCTTAGCCAGGCGGGCGTGGGGCCCTCTGATCCGCCCCAATGGCTAGGGGGCAAATCCCGCCCACAGAAATGCCAGTTCCCAGTAGCCATGCTCTACGGGGAAAATAAAAGCCGATTAAAATGCATCAGCAGGCAACCCTGTAATTAGTGCCCGGGATGAGCTGTGCAAGGGCTCGGCTTGGTTTCGGAGTGGCTGCCAGTTGCTTCTGGGGGCTGACGAGGAGATGAGCACCAATTTGCAAGCCATCATTGATTTTTGCAGTGAAGTGCAGGCAGCTCATTCATATTCCGGGCAGAGGGCACAAGGCACTGGAGTGTGCTGGAGCACGGTCTGGAGGGGCCAAGCACACGGGGTGGGAGAGGGCTGTGATCTTTGCAAGGGAGAGCTCCAGCACAGGCGCCAGCCAGGATGTGCTGCAGGGCAAAACGCCAGCACATATGAACTCCCCGTTGCTGTAAGCACTGGGAGGCAGGGATGGGAGACAGCATCACCCATCCATCCATCCATCCTCCTGGCGCTGCTGGACAACAGAGGTGTTCAGCGGAGTGGGGCTATGGGGGTCTCGAAGGGGATTCTGGCTGCGCTGGGGCTTGCCAGGTCAGTGGCAAGAGTTGAGCTCATTCATGAAGCCTCTACGCAGGCTCCCTCGCAACCATGCAAAGCACCCATGCCTGCCCCAAGGCATCTCAGTGTGCCTCCCTGATCCAGCCCACCCCTGGGCTTGCAGACGGAAGGGAAAATTTCACCCTTTTATGTCTCACCCGAGCTCTCCCCTCCCAGCAAAGAATTTGCAAAGTCCTTCTGCAAACAAGACCTGCTCAGCAGGCCCTGTGATTGCAATTGCATGCAAATGAGTCCACCTGGAAATTTGCTTGGCACCAGAAAGGGATTAGAGACACCTGAAGCCATCTCTGCTCCCTGACCGGCCTGCCAACATAAACCACCAGAGCACCGGGGCTGCAAAATGCCAGTGGGCTGGGGTCAGCTCGGTGCTTTGCTCATGAGACGGGCTCCTTCCTTTCAGGGCGGTGGAGAGCCTGGCTCAGGGAGCAGACACCGAGGGCTCCAACTCAGCCCTTGCAGAGAGCTGGTCCTCGCTGTGTCCCTGCCATCCTGTGCACATCTTTCTCTGATGGCTCCAGGGGGGTTAAGCTGTGCCCAGCTCTCACTGGACCCCTCACGGGGCAGATTTCACCCCATGGCACTTACATGACATGGTTTGACTTGTGTCCCTTGATTGGAGGGATCCACATGGTTAATCACCAGCATCTCCTACAGGGGAATCTATCCAGCGTGGGGGTGGCTTGTGCTGCACGTACAAGCATCTCGGCTCCAAACCCAGCCATGGCTGGGGGTATGTCTGTCATGACACAAAGAGCGAGCAGAGAGAGCAAGGCAGCGGGAGAGGGAGCAATGTGCCCAAGGGCAGCGGGGAAGGTAGTGGCGGAGGTGGGAGAGGCAGGCAGGGCTCTGCCGCCCACTGCCACCAACAGAGCGTCTCCCTTGCTCAGGTCCAGACGTGCGCTGAATTTCCACCGGTTCTCTCTGCTGGCTGCTCAGCTCGCCTCGGGAGAGCCTCCCGGTGCCCGCTCTGTCCGTGCAAACAGACTCTCCGGCGGGTGTCACCTCTGCTTAGAGCCACGACACAGCTGGAAGGGGGGCAAGAGGGTGCTTATTGATGTACCAAATTAAATGGTGACGGCGGCTAGACTGAACGCAACAGGCAGCCAGCCATGCACCTGCCGCCAGCTGGGAACTCCCAGCCCAACCCCGTCCTCCCCCCGCCCTGGGCCTGAGCCTAACAAGGTGCTGTGCATCAGCTGTGCCTCTGGCCTCTGGATCTGGCCCTTGACCTCAGGATCCGGCCTTGCATGTTCCACACCTGGGGACTGCGTTGGGGAAGCATCTCTCTGGGAGCGGTGGAGCTGACAGCACGTAGCAAGCAGCGGGACACTTGAGAGCGGAGGGCAGCAGGTGATGCTAGCCCAAGAGGAGAGCGAACGTGGGTTTGTGATATGCCAGGTGGAAGATTTAAAGTGTCCAGAGAGCAGTGGGTGCTGGCCCAGAGGATCTTGCTGCTGGCAACGGAGTTGGCTTAAAGGATCAGTTTGGGTTGAAACCCCTGCCCCTGGTGAGTTTGCTCTATTTAATTCTGACTCTTAACAGCATGTCCGTTCAGACAGCTGGACTTCCGGAAGGGCTGGACGTCGGGACACCCAGCGCCAGGCTGCCGGAGTTCAACCTCTCTTGGCCAAATGCTCGTGGTCTTGGCTGGTCTGGGGAAGACGCAGGCTGATTTCTAGGGTGGAAGCTCTGTGGACCTGAGCCTTTTATGGCTGCTGTAAGAACCAGGGGGCAGGGCCTCTGGGCTGTGCATGTGCGTACAGCTCCGAGCGCAGTGAGGTCCCGGTAGAGGATGAGGACTCCCAGGCCCTACTGTCAGACAGAGATGACAACAGAGGCAGGGCTGTGGGCACCAGCCATGTGCCCAGTGGAAGGCTGCACTGTCCAGGGGACCCTTACCGAGAACCTGCCCCTCTTGCTTCCTCTGTCCTCATCCCACCCAGAATCCACCCAGATGTCCCGTGTGACCCGGAGCAAGGCCATGGGGCCCAGAGCACCAGAGGCATGCAGGTCTCAACTTCCACTGCAGTCCAGGGGACTTAGGCACCTGCATAGCACTCTGGCACCTACAAACCTACGTACCCAGACCTTAGTCACTCATATCTAGGACCTTACAATAGGGGTCATAGCACTTCCCTACCTCCCTGGGGAGCTCTGAAGTTAAATGCATTCAAGGTCCCCAAAAAGATCACCATGAAGGGAGGCAAAGGATCAGAAGGGAAGCAGAGGCGCCTGGCAGGAGAGCTCCCCCGGGCTGGTCCTGCGTGGGGAGAGGGCTGCTGTTCCATTCAGTGCTGAGCGCAACGTGATGCTGCTCTCAGCTGCGGGGTCTGGAAGCTGCAGGGACACAACTTCAGCGCAGGTCCTGCTCTGAACCAGCACCACGCTACAGCTGCCTTCTCCCCTGCTGCCATCTCCCCTCCTGCTTCCCTGCAAAGGGAGGGAGGGAGCACATGGGAGAGGAAAGGAAGAAAGCGTTCCCCAGGATCAGACCGCAGCAGAGCTGCTCCGGTGCTGTTGCCAGGCATGGCAGGGAGGGGGCTACGTGCAGCCAGATGAAAACCCAGCGGTGCTGACAGAATGGATCAGAAACTTATTGGAAGCAGCTCAAAGCCGAGGCTGGCACAGCGCAGGTGGAGAGGGGCCCTGGCACGCTCTGGCTGAGCCCCACCGGCCGGGGTCGTGCTCAGCATGCTGCGGCTCCTGCAGGGAAGGTGAGCAGAAGCCCGGCACAAGCGTGTCCGTGCAGGACTGTTGCAGGATGGAGGAGAAACTCCACGCCGTCGGCAGCAGAAACATCTCCAATCACAGCCTGGGGGACCTGAGCTCCTTCCTGCCCCCCGACAGCACCAAGGCCGCTCGCATTGCCATAGCTGTGATCTACTCTATCATCTGTGCCCTGGGTGTGGTGGGCAACGCGCTGGTGCTCTTCTTGTTGGGCTCAAGGCGCCGGGGGAAGATGTCCAGCATGATGTTCTTCGTGCTCAACTTGGCAGCCACTGACTTCCAGTTTGTCCTCACCTTGCCCTTCTGGGCTGTGGACATGGCCCTGGACTTCAGCTGGCCCTTTGGCAAGCTCATGTGCAAGCTGGTGTCCTCGGTGTCCGCTATGAACATGTACGCCAGCGTCTTCTTCCTCACCGCCATGAGTGTGGCCCGCTACTGCTCTGTCGTGTCCTCCCTCAAGGCCAAGGAAGGCTCTGCCTCCCGGTGCCACGCCAAGCTGGCCAGCGCTGTCATCTGGGTCTCTACAGCCATTGCTACCCTGCCACATGCCGTCTTTTCCACCACCCATGCGGTCTCCGGGGACGAGCTCTGCCTAGTCAAGTTCCCGGAGCTGGAGGACATCGACCCCCAGGTCTTGTTGGGCTTGTACCAGACCCAGAAGGTCTTGCTGGGCTTTGTCATCCCTCTGGCCATCATCTTGGCCTCCTACATCCTCCTCCTCCGCTTTCTGAGCCGGATGAAGACGAGCCGCAGCCACCCCCGCAGGAGGTCCCGGGTCACCAAGTTGGTCACTGTCGTGGTGCTCACCTTCTTCCTCTGCTGGCTCCCCAATCAGGCGCTGACGGCCTGGGGCATCTTCATCAAGTTCAACCTGGTGCCCTTCACCGAGGCCTTCTATGCCGCCCAGGCCTATGTCTTCCCCGTCACCGTGTGCCTGGCTCATGCCAACAGCTGCCTCAATCCCGTCCTCTACTGCCTGGTGAGGAGGGAGTTCCAGGAGGCGCTCAAGGGACTCTTGCACAAGGTAACCCCCTCCTTCAGCCGGCGCACTGGCCAAGCCCCCCCGCCAGCCGAGCCTGGTGTCCCCAGCTCTGCCCCTGGAGAAGGAGCTGCCTCAGCCCCTGGGCTGCACCTGTGAGACTCCATGCAGCTCCTGACGGTCTATCTACCCCCGGTACATGCTGCCCACTTGCTTCTCCTCCATGCTTGCCAGCTTCTGGAAGGGATGCCGGGCTGGCCTTGAGCACATGCCCAGCCCGGCACCTGGGCTTTGCCATGGGCATACTCAATGGCACTCACTCAGGGTGGCATGCAAGTGGCTTTGCTGCCTCCTTAGCATACATGAGGCCAGAGTGAGCGGCGGGGCCAGCTTCCAGCAGTGCAGGCCTGCCCTTAGACAGCCCGGGGGAGCCCCGGACACCTGCTGGGTTTCTTTTCTGCCTCTGCTGCCGACCTTCAGCAAATCCCCTCTCCATCGCCGTGCTCCCATCTCGCTTCCACCTGTCTCGTCTCTTTGGAGTGTGAGCTCTCCGGGGCAGGGCAGCATCTTGCTCTCTGTACGTGCAGCGCCCGGCCCGCTGGGGCATCCATCTCATGGGGAACAGCTCCCACAATAAACACCAGGACAGCTGGCCCAGGGACTGCCTTTTATTGCGAGCGTGTCCCACAGCAGGGCCCAGGTCCCAGTAGCTCCACTTGCCAAAGGAAAGATCACTGACAGCCTAGATCGAGTTGGGACGGGCAAGGGGGGCGCGAATGGAGAACGTGGGGGTGGCTGGTGGAGCCTAGGCTGCGTGCAGAAAGCTCCAGCTGCTGGAGCCCTGGGATCACATCAGTCCCAGCTGGTTTGGGAAAGAAAAGAGGAGACAAAGCTCTGGTCGGCTCCAGCAGCGGGGCCCTGTGGATGGGGGGTTTCATGGGGGGGTGCTCAGGTGCTGGCTGCCCCGGGGCTGGCAGCCTCCAGCCAGGCCTGTGCGGGTCCAGCCAGAGCACCTGGTGATCTCAGCGCCCCTGGCTCTGGCTGAGGTCCAGCAGCAGCTGGCATCTCCCTCAGATCAGCATCTGGACTCAGCCTGGGCTCCCTTTGGGCTGGACATGGAGCAGCTAACTCAAGCCAGCCCGGTCCCTCTGCCTGGGTACACATAAGGAGCAGGGCCTTATCCTGGCACCTTTGGGGCTGGGCTGGAGAAGCCAGGTCCCCAGAATTAGCATTAGCTCTGGTTTGCCGGGTGCAGATCAGAGAGACAACACCTCCAGATCAGGGCGAGACCCAAATGTCAGCTGGGTCTCAGTATGGATGAGCTGCCGTCTGCACCGCCCACGCCGCGCTGTGAACTTTCCCTATCGCCCCATCGTGCTTTAGCCGAGGGAGACAAAGGGCTGTCCCTGGCCACGACCCAGCCTGCCAGCGGGGCTGATCGGTATCGAGTCTTGCTGCCAGGCTTATCGACAGTCCCAGTGCTGCTTGCTGCCGCTGGGAAAATACCAGCCCGGCCCACCTGGCTGAAAGGCCCTGTCCAACTCCCCTTCCACAGCGCGCTGCCACTGTGCCCCATCGCCAACCGGGTGGGGAAGCCTTGGCACCCCCTCTTGCCAGCAGGGGCAACACCAGGAAAGCAGAGCAGGCTTTGCCAGGCTCCAGGGCTGGGGTGGGGAGAAGGGTGAGGCAGGGTCATCCACCCCACACGGCTCTGCTCCCAGGGAGTAAAACAGGGGTCACACAGTAGATCAGGCCTGGAGCTCTCCTGGGTGCGGAGCCCAGCCCAAGCCCCTGCTGCCCCCTGCCACACCATGCCACTTGTGCAAACAGCAGCATCCAGAGCAGGCAGGATGACTTGGACCTGGGATCCAAGCTTGTTCCCTAGGCTCTGCTAGATGCCTCACCCCCAAATACCTCACATAGCCCCTCCGGGTTGGCCCTGGAGTCTGATAGCAGCATCCAAGTCCCCACAAGCCCTGATCTCAACTAGGACACGGTCATTAGCACAAAGAGCAGCTCACCCACAGTCAGGCCAGCTGCGGGTAGAAGCCAGAAGCCTCTGATGCCAGCCCCAGCTCACCTAGCAGCTCACACCAGCTCCTCTCTGCAGACATGGAGAGAGGGGCCATGGCATTGGCAGAGTTGGCTAGCTGGTGGCCCATCCTCCCAGCCTACAGCCCCTGGCATCAGGATGACTCAGCTGCAATGCCCAGGCTGCCATGCTCCATGCAAGGCAGGGGCCAATCCCCAATGGGCACTCACTGCTCTGCCACTGACTCCTGTGTGCCCCTGGGCAAGTCACGCAGCTGCTCTGCAGAGAATCAGGGCATCCACGGTGGGGAGCAGCTCGCCTGCCCAGCTGGCAGGAGGCAGGGGCAGGGGCAAGAACGAAAGGCATGGGCGAAGGCCTGAGCCAATCGCCAGCCCCGCTTCCTGCCCCAGCTCCCAGCACCTGCTCCAGCCTGGGTGCAGGCCAGGCCAGCCAAGTCCCTCATTTCTCTAGGATACTGCAGACACCAGGCCCGGCTGTTGGGGCTTGGGCTCTCATGGGATTATCCCAGATTGGGACTCCCTTTGCAGCAGGTGCACTGATAAGCCAAGCCCTGCACCAGATCGGAGGCCTGTGTCTTGCTGCCTTCAGCGGCAGGTGACACCAGCCCCTTGAGAACTGGCAAACTCGGCCCATAGATTGCAGCCCCCGGGCTGGCGGTGGCTCTGGTCAGCTGTGCTTGCGGGACGGCATCCCAGTGTGGGGGAAAGGAGGGGTGGTGAGTCTGCTGCAAAGTGACAGGCAGCCCCAGGGGTGACAGCGATCTCATTGGGGCTCTGGCAATCTGGGTTTGACAGACGCCGTCAGTGCCCCACATGGCTCTGCTTTGACACGGGGCTGCTGGAGGGAAGCATGGAGACTGGCAAGAAATGCAACCGTAGAGGCCACTGCTCCCAATGCTGCTCCTCCCAAGCCCGCCTGCTCCTCACGCGCCCCCACGATGGGGTCCCAGCCTCCCCCCACCCCACCCCCATGCTGGCAAATCTGCTGAGACCAGCCTGGCTCCCCACTGCTGCAGTGTGCAGTGCAAGTCGGCTGCTTTCTGTCCTATCCCCAGCAGACATGGGGAACATCAACAGCCTTCCCCCCGGCAGGACCCGGGCACTTGTGGACTGCGATCCAATTCCTCCCTCTCAGTGAGGCAAACGGCACCCATTCTCCAAGCCTCCGGTCTCGGGATGAGCAGAGACAGGCTCTCTGCTAAGCAGCACCTGGTACTACCCATCCTCCCTCTGCTGGGGCTTGGTGCTGAGTTCCTGCCTCTGCACCGGGGCCGTCAGGGCTCCTCGTTCTCTCCGGAGCGAGCTGGGCTCTGAGAGCAGCGGGCACCTGCTCTGACCATAGCATGGGCAGAAAAGGGTTTCAACAGCCTCCTTACTGGAGTCCCAGATCCTGCACCAGCTGGCCTGGCACCACGGACACGTGGCCCGCTTGGTCCAGAGTATTCTCCCCTCAGCTGCCCCTCCTGGCAAGGTCCCTGGCACCTCGGCCCTGATTCCTCCAGTGCCTCAAGAGGGTCTGCAATGCAGGCAGGAACGGAAAGCCCATGTCCCCTCCGCCTGGTGCCTGCCCTTCCTGCAGCCCACCCTGTTTCAGGCAGCTGCAAGGAGGCAGAGGCCCATAGCAGGTGGATCTCTGCGGGTCTCTTATCAGCCAGCTGCACTGACCAGCTGCCTGCCCTAGCAGAGCCCAAGCTGCCTTTGAAAGGGCAATCTTTGCATGCGATTATCACAGCAAAGGCACCTGCCTCTCTCCCCCTGGCTCTGTGCTTATGGTGTCCTGGTGCCCGTGGGTTCAGAGAACCCCCCCCAGGCCAGCACGGAGCACACAAACACCGAGGTACGTGGGACCATGGATCTCAGGAGGCCAGGGAGGGGGCTGGACTCGTTGTGTGTTGCCCCACGGGCTCAAGCTCCAGACATGAGAGCTCTCGCGTGCTGCAAAGGCAGATTCAGCTGCAGTCACGAGGCAGGGTCTTCACGGGGCCAGGCAATTGCTTTAAAAATTGGCTCAGTACAATAGAGTGGGGGTTGGGAGAGCCCTGGCAGGCAGCAGCAGCATGTGCCAACAAGAGCCTACTGCCCATGAGGCTGCAGCATCTCTCTGAATGAACAAATGTGCCAACAAAAGCCTTCACTGTGGCCTGCACTACAGCCTGGAGTAGGGGGTATCTAGCACGGCCACCAGATTGTAACACCCTGCAGGAACCCTGAAGGATGGAACAGGAGTTGGAGGAGCGACTGCACAGGGAGGGGGGTCTGCGGGGGAGAGGGAGGAAGAAGGGACATGGTGGAAAGGAGCTGGGCTCCACTGGCGACTGCAGGGAACCGTTGGCACCTTGCTCAGGGCTGCGCGTTCAAAAGCAGCGATTCGCCAAGGAAGGCAAGAGACAGAGGCACCGCACCCCAGAGCCGAGGACCTTTGGCCTCCCCCACACTGGGAACGGCAAGCCCTGATGACACCGTGTGCAGATGCTCTTATCCCAAAGTGAGCTGCTATTCCTGACCAGAGCAGCGCTTTGACGTCCCAGCCTCCCTCCAGCTGACTGTGCTCCCACGCAGAGACGAGCCCTTCCACCCCTTCCCGTATTCTACACACCCTTCCCAGGCATTTCCCTATGGATGTGACAAGAGATACAGCTCCTGGAGCCTCCCAGCTCCTGAGTCACACATGCCTGTGTGCAGTGCGTGTGCATGTGGAGGGTATGTGAGCATCTGAGGGGGGCAGGGGGTGTTGAAGGCTCCAGACCAGTACATCACACAGCTCTAGCATCTCTGGACAGTCACACTTCACATCAGATAACATAGGGTTGGGGGAAACCGCCCCAGTTCCAGCTGCTGGGACCCATCACTGGACTGGATCCCACTGCCCTGACCCCCTTGGTTTTCCTGGGGACTTGGTCTTCTGCTGCCCCTCCCACAGCAAAGAGTCTAGCTCCCCTCCTTCCTGACTCTCAGTCCGCCAGCCAACACTGGGCCTACCACAGCCCTTTGATGGACTGGGGGGGCCCGGGAGTCAGCTGGGCAGGACGATGCAGCAGTAGCACACCCTGCTCCCTAAACCCGTGGGACAGTGGTTCCCCCTGCAGGCAGCAGAAGCAGCTGCCCACACACACATTTCAAGGTGGTTTAATACTTATAAAAAGGGACAATATTTTTAAGTGTATAAAAAAAAGCTGGTAGGAAAAGTGGCACGGGCTGGGACAAGTCAGGAGAGTCTGTGTCAGGTGAGCAGTGACTCTGCTTTCCTCCTCTTGGCTGCTACAGGGCTGGGACATTCCTGTTTCACACTGTCACAGCGAGACTTGGGCACGAGCCCCAGGCCAGGGCAGGTCCCGCTGGCCCCCTCCATGATGCCGTTGTGGTGGGAAGGGGACTCAGCTTTGGCTGGACAAAGAGCATCAGGGTCGGGCTTGAGGGGCTCTTCGGGCTTCACCAGCTCTGCCCTCTCCACTACCACTGGCCCTCTCCACTCAGGGATCTCCAGACCCAGGTGCTTCATCAGCTTCATCATGACTTCATCCACATAGCCATGGATGCGCAGGTCGGCTTGTCTGTCCTGGGGCCAAGAGGCAGAGCACAGAGGTCAGGAGCTAAACCGCGCTCTCCCCTTCCCCACTATGCACAACACGGCACCCCCCCATGGCAGCGAGGGGAAAGCTTAGGGTAGAAACAACCCTGGCCCCGTGACCTACCAAACGCACCTTGTCTGGGACTAGGAGAGGACTCTGGCTGTAGCGGCTTCAATGAGCTGTTGACAGTCAGCTGGGGCAGGCTACTAGCTGTCCAAGTTCCCCCTGAGATGGTTTGTTTGGACCATTATTCCCCCCTTAATAAACCCTGCTACAGTGGGGAAGATACCCTGGTAGCTTGCAAGCTTGCAGGTTTTGGGGTGGGGGCTTGAGCCAAGATAGAGAATTTGTATCACACCCTTAAACTGAACCTGGCCCTTGCTACCGCCGTCCAGTACTCAGAAGAACGGTGATGTACTGAGTCAGATCTACTGGCCTGCCTACAGCCTGGCCTGGCCCTGGAGCCTCCCTGCCTGGTACCACAGTGAATGGGAGCAGTGTGAAGGGCAGGGATCACGTGACATGTCCATCCAGACTACGACAAGGCAGAAATCCTGTCCTGGGGGATCGTTCCCACCCCTCACTTCATGGGGAGGGTGTCAGTGCTCAGTGCCCACGACACAGAGCTGAGCACAAACAAACCCCTCGATGTCCTGCACTGCTCCCAGCGAGGATTTTCTGCCCAGGAATCCTCTGTATCAGCTGGGATTTGATCCACCAGAAGATACACAGGGACTTACTTCTCCGCTCTAGATATTTATTTTTAGGTCCAGATCTGTGGTCTCTGGCAATGGGAACACAGCCAGAGCCCTCGCTGATGTGGGCCCACCTCTTCTAGCTGGCGCCAGCAGCAGACGGCCTGACCCACTTTTGCAGGATTAAATCATGCGGACACAAGAATGATGGCTGCTGCTGCTGTCAACCTACATCTGAGAGACCCTGCATGCAAGGTGCCAACCAAAAGTCTTCTCACTCACGTGTTTGGTTGCTTGGAGATTGACAATCACCAGCTTCCCACCTCTCTTTTTCGTGATCAGGGGGAGATTGCCACTGGGTTTGATCTGGAGAGAGGTTCCCAGAGTGATCGACAGGTCTGCTTTCCTGAGGGAAGAACGTCAAGACAGCCGGTAGAGCCTTTAATGCAGAGCAGAGCCAGCGTCTGTGAGAAGTCCCCATCTCCAAGACCTATGATAGACCTATCTCCCTTAGTGTACGAGTCAACCTCACAGCCCCAATTAATTGGCCACAAGTGATGAAACCATAACCCAAGACAACACACAAAACCCAGCATTCAAAGGCCCTAAGCAAGCTCTGATCAGAGCTGACTTGTTCTGTGGGACAAGGGCTGATTTTTTTCTTCTGAGTCCGTACAGCACTGAGCCCGACAACATCCCAGTGTGAGATTGTGGCTCCTGGTGCTACCACCGTACAGTAAAACACTAGTCTTTGGAGACAGCTCTGTGAACAGCTGCCCACAGGTGGGAAAATGCCCTTTCATTTCCTCCCATCCTTATCTTACCTTATTTTACCCATCCTTATCTCCTGTAAACTTGAAAGGGACCTATATATTTGGCCTAGCTCATTAACCTATAAAGTACTTCCAAGAGGTTGTATTAACAGCAGGGAATGTGACCTAGGAAACGATCCCTCTTGCCCGGGGAAGAAAAGGTGCAGTCAGAGGTATCCTACCTACAACCCCTGCCTCACTCAGGAGCCAAAAATGTTTCCCCCATGACTGGCAGTTTGCTGGTTAAGGATTAGCTACCACCTCCCTGGCAAGAGGGAAAGGGAATCTCCATAGGGGGAACTCTCAGTGCATTTAATTTCCCTTGGACTCTTTGCAGTGCAGTGTCACAAGCTTCCAGCACATCCTCCTGCTGCCCAGCTGCAGCCCGGGTGACTGGGTAAAATCCTAGAGCAAAGGTGATGTCACAGGGGACTGGCAGGTCAGAGTCCAAGTATCTGAACAGTTCCTTTCATGCCGGGACCTAGGAGCAGTGTCCGAGATGTTGAATGTGGCAGAGGGGCCGGGGGAGAGGAGTACAGGGGCCAGCCCTCCACTCTGAGCACCACTACCTGCAGGCTTCATCGGCCAGGCTGAGGTCCCGGCCAGGTAGCGAATCCTCCCAGTCCAGAATAGTGTCTATGAGCTTGCCCCTGGAAAGAGAACAGCACAGGACAGTGCACTTCAGTACTGAGCCCCACCTCAGACTTACCATGACATGGGGGATTTCAAGGGCACAGAAGTCAGTCGTGTACCAAGGGGACCCACAGAGATGCTCAGGCTGCAGCCAGGGGGCACCAGCCAAAGATGCCCACCTCCAAGGAGACCCTGCAGGGGGTGGGGAGGGAATATCGCATTCCCGCGATGCAGCACGTACCTGCAGGCACGGAGACCACGCGCTTTAGTGACGTTGCACAGCCTGCCTGTCGACTTGAGGCCCATGCTCCCCACCACGGTGTCCCGCACGTACTGCCTTCACATGCAACGAGAGAGGACGCGAGTCAGGCTCCAAGGCGAGACAAGTCCTCACGCCTGCCTGCTGATGGCAGAGAGGGGACAGGTGGATGAATGCACCCATCGGCTCTCAGCCCATGGAAATGGGGGAGCCAGAGGAAGCTACAAAGGGCAGAAACCAACGGGTGATCCTGCCCTTTTGCAGCTGGGAGAAGGCAAAGATGCACCTCTTTGGCTAAACACACCCCTGGCATGATGTCTGGAGCAAATGGAGTCGTATTGGAGAGCAGGGCCAGATTCCAAGTTATGAGGCACCTCGATACCTTTGTGGACTTAGGTCTTTGTCTTTAAACCTGGGGTCTCCCTGTGGCCACCCCCCTCCCCAAGTCTGAGCAACAACTTCAAAATTTCAACTAAGGCTCTGGAAGCCCAAACCTCAATGAACGACCCTTTTACTAAGCCCTGAGCATGCAAGTCCAAGGCCCTGCAACAGGGTACCACCGGAGGTATTTCAGCCTAATCGTGATGGCCACAACCTGATTAACAGGCCCAGGAGCCATGGGGATCCTCCAGAAGGGCGCACACAGCTGATCTCCCATGCAGCACCAAGGGGGAAGTGTTCTTTTAGGATTGTGCAGGACATATCTGCTCATAAGCAGCCTCACGGCCTTGGCTGCCGGATGCCCACGTGCTGATGGGAAGTGTATGCCTACTGCTGCTCTAGGACTGTGATGGCACAATCCAATCCCCTGCGAAACCCTCCTGCCCCAGAGATGTGCTCTGGAGCTGAGCTGCCTATTAGCATGGCAGTCAGACTTGCCCGTGTCGCCAGCCTACTATGGGGAAAGTGTGCATTGGAGCAGCGGGGCTGACATACTTGCCGCATTTCACACATTCCTCCACAAACATGTTCCCGTGCAGCTCGGACAGCTTGTCCCTGCGGAGGAGACACGACAGATTAACACGTGCCCGGGAGGCCGCGGCGCCCCTCGGTGACATGGCAGGCTCTTGCATGCAGTTGTCATGGACACGAGATGCCCAAGCAGCCTGTCGCTGAGGCTGGAATAGTTCCTAGCTGCTGTGACGGCTGCGGGGGACCGGGCCGTGCTGGCAGGGGTGAGAGCATCTCGCGTGTGGCTCTTTGCAATGAGGCCACCCCACAGGTGAGCTGCTATATTTTCTTGTGTGGGGTTTGCTGCAACCCCTCCCGCCTCTGGGATCCCGCTGTGCTGGGCGCTGTAGAACCGGCCTCACCCCAGTCATTTTTCACATGAACAGTTTGCAACTCTGGGATAAGACACAAGGAGTTTCCCCTTCCAGGTGCTACTGGGATGCAAACAGGAGAGGGCCCAAAGCCACGGACACCCTGTGCCCTACGTATGCACCCAGCAAGAGCTCTTACCACCTGAACAGACAAGAGAGAGACTGAAAAGGGAGGCAGGGCAGGGAGAGGGGATGTGCTTTGCCCCAGGTAAAACTAGACCCAGATCACTCCCTGGCATTAGTCTGGCTCTCAACACACTCTCAGTCTTTGGTACAGGCCCTTGTGCACACAGAAGACAATTCTCAACTCGCTCACCTTGTCAGCGCCTTGCCCACCGCAACTCAGAAAGACAACGGATCAATACTGAGAGCACGTCTTTATATAGAGGCAACTGCCAGAATTCAGCTGCCCTGTCAAGCACAGCTTTATCCCCATCCTTTTGAACAGTGGTTCTCAACCCTTGTATACTCAAAGCCCCGCTGGATAGATTTGAGGTGTCGCCCCCCCCCCAGAATATATCAGCTCCTAGTTTTCGCTTTGTGCCTACCGAAAAATAAGAGAGCAGTTTTTCTGTTGCAAAGAACTCAGAAAATCCACAACTATGGGTTTCTATTTGAAAGCTCTTGGTTTATCATGTGAAACATGTTTGCAAACCTAACAGTGCTAATACTGCATAGCACTCCGTCGTACCGCTGAAAGGATCTCCAGGCACCCCAGGGTGCTGCAGCACCCTGATTGAGAATTGCTGACTTAGAGGCTAACCTGTGGCACAACAGTCCAGCCCAGAGAAGGGGGACACAACCGGCTCTCTGGCTGTACCTGTTAAAAGAACGGGAATTTCAAATTCCACTGCATTCTGTGATCGTTCTTCCCCACCCGTTCTGACCCCAAACTTTTGATTTTTATTTAGGGTCAGTAATGAAATCGGCCTATAGCATCTGCAGACATTTTTTGGATCCTGTCCTCCTGTGGTTCCAGCTCTTTCTTGTTAATTAAATCAAGACAGACCTTCACCAGCAGCTGTAGCATCTATCTGATCTGTGAGCACCTCAGAAACCACTTTCCTTGCAGCTGTGAGATTGGCGGCGCCTGTCTGCAGAGCCCTTTGTTGTGGAAAGCGCAGGTGATTTGTTTAGATCAAAGCTTCCCGCGTACTCTGCACAAATTTCACCGTGCTTACGGTGGAACGAAGGGAATGTAAAGGCACGTTCTTCCTGTACGTGCCACCATCAATGACAAAGGCATTCGCCGAACTTCTTCAAACCAGCCAGCAGAGTGATTGGGACTGCTGAAGAATAATTGAATTTCAACAACACGCACACTTCAAGGCCTTGGGTCAAAGCATGTCAGTGTGTGGTTAAGTCACATGGATCTCAGCTGGCCTTAAGTGTTGCCGAACCGGGGGGGGGGCGGCGCGCGGCCTTTGCAAGGTTCAGAGAACACCCTCCACAGCTGCATGCCAGGGTGACTGTGCCCAAGAGCGTTTGGCCTTTTTCCCTTTCATTTTCACCATCTGAACAAGTGGCACAGACCTCTGTTGCATTTTCTTCTGGATGCTCAAATGGCATCTACAGTGAGTTAGAAGCAATATTCTTCTAGTGATTGGGGTGCTTCGAAGACACAAGCTAGCAGGAACACCTGAATGCTGAGAGTGACCCTCAAGTCATTTCTAATGCGGGGACCAGCCACCTTGCGGTAATGATGTTCATCCTTTTAGCTCTTCCTGCCATTTTTCTAGCGTCTTTGCTCACAGTTTGTAACAGCCAAGTCTGCTGCTTCTGCCTGCCTGACACAAAATTATCCTGGACAAATTGCTTCTTCAAACCACTTGGGTTTTGCAATGTGGTGATACTGAAATGAAGGAAGGTTGCAGCTTTCTTGGCAAGAGCAACTATTGGCTTGTCAAGTGTTTTCAGGGCATCAGCACTGTTTGATCTTTGCCATTTTGGGGGGTGTTAGTGATGAACAGTGATTGCTCTCGAATGAAATGAACTTTGGGCTATTGGAAGCCGACCACTGGGATTTAAATCACTTCCTGGGCTAAGTGGTGATAATACCGAGGCCACACATTCACAGGGTTGCGCTCAACATCCTGCTTGGCTACTCCAACCTGCAAAATTTCACTCAACGACACTCGAGGAAAAAGAACCAGATTATCTGCACTCCAAACCGAGGGTAAATGTTTCTGCTTAACAACTCCGGAAAGCATAAATACAGCTTGTGAATAAAGTGAGGCTTTTTCCCAGCTCCGGTCTATTAACTCACTCATTATCTAAAGCATCCTTGAACTCCACATACTTTTGAGCTCCCCCTGATATTTGGTCTTTAACAAATATTAGTCACTCACTTGCAGTAGACATCAGGAGCTTTCACTTTGGCTGCAGTGAGAACAAGACGCCACCACTGATGGAGCTCATCACTAGAGGCTGAGAAATAAGTCATGCTGGCTGACCTCGTGTAGGAACACACCCTCCAAAGCCACGTCCAGATTCTGGATGCTAGCAAGCCAAGCCGACAGGGGCTCACAAATCAGCACATTCCCTTTCCTGTCATCCAGGGAGAGTGAGCACCACATATCAGCTGCAGCCCTTCCTCTGATAACTAGCTCCTTTGGGGGCTTTGCTTAAATCAGTTCCAAAGCAAACCAGACTGAACTGCACACAGGCACTCAATGTGGATTTACAGTGTCTGCAGAGAGAGGTTGTTTAGGAGCATTTTCTTGGGTGGGTAAGCCTTAAATACAGCATTTGGCTTCCCCATAAGGTTCCAGGAAGCGCAGACAGCCTAGCAAGGCTGGCTGCTTGGACAACACCATGTCAGCCATTTCTATGGCCTTTCTTCAGCCCCTTCTCCCAGCTCCTTTCCTGTCATTCTCCTACTTGGATCAAGCTGGCAGAGGAGAGCATAATTTATTCCAAACACGCAGGCTCGCAAAGCAAATAAACCCTCTGCCTTGAGGGCTGCAACCGTTCTGCTCTCGGGTATTTCTGTAATACATTGATGCTTCCCTTGGAAAAAAAAAGCCGCTACTCCCAGGTGGAGCTAACAGAAAGGCTGGATCCTCTGGAGACGGTTTTAAATCTCTTGTCACACTATTAAACACATTTCAGACTCCACCTCTGCACGTGCGGGGACTCAGCTCCTTCAGGGGGTAGCTACGGGCTGGGGGAGCAGCTCTGTACCCTGTTCCCTTATTAGAACCAGGACACAGCGGAGAAGTAACCACATCGAATGATCCACAGTTCTGGTAAGTTAAACATGAACCTTAAACACAGGGCGATCTTTGTCTCTTGCCCCTTCTAAGCGGGGTTTGCAGATGTACATAGAAGCAGGAGCTTAATTCAGAGCCAGTTTGGATGCCAGGCAAAGCTTTGTCACTGAACAGGCAGGGCTGGCATTGCATTTAGCTATTTTCCTTCAGGAAACCCAAGTTAACTAACCTCCCCTCTAGCGGGGTTGAATGAGCAGCTGTGCCTGAACAAGGTGAGGAAAGGGTAAGACTGGTGTCCCCAGCAGGCTACATGCAACATCTTTGCTGGCAGTCAGCAAAGACCATTATTCACACCCACGTTGTATGGAAGGCTGGCCCTGGGACGCCAGCTGCTGTCTAAACAGCAGCATATGCAGGCTGGAGGGGGTCTCCTTATCATTCTCTTCTCCAACAGCTGAGCAGGCCCTGGTGATGGCATAACCCCTTGTGTCACGCTCCACCTCAGGGCTGTGTGCGCCAGGACCTGGCCTCGCGCAGACGGGGTCTTGGTGCCAGGAGTGAGCGAGCGCATCTCGAGCATGTTAGTAAGGTGCAGCCTTCAGCTAGCAAATGTTCGACCCCTCTGAGGCCATGTGTGCCCCCCACGCACTCTGCCCCGGGCAGTGCCACACACAGCACCCGAGCTGCCTAAGCTGAGAGATGCTTGAGACAAGGGAAACATACCCCCAATTTCACTCGGGAGGCTGACCCCCCAGAGACCCAAGGGGCAGAACCAGCTGGCCAGGACCATCCTTCCCGCTGGCCTGCAGGAGGAGTGGAAAGACGAACGCAGCCTGCCCAAAGCCTCAACCTCCGAGACCCCGCAATGCACGAGGCTTCCAATAGCCATCGATACCAGTTGCCCTACAGAACTTAGCGCTGCCCTTTACTCTGATAGGGGCTCGATCAAATCCATGGGCATCCTATGCAGGTCACTGGCACTTTAAAAAAGGGCTTCATTTAAGAACAGCAGCACTGGGAGAAGGCAGTCTCATCTGCCCCATGGAATCACCAAGACAGAGTGTTACACGGCCTGTGTTGTATCCTCCCCCACAAGCTTTTCCCACCCCCTTCTCCACCTCTTTAAAGTCCATGCAGTTCACTTCTAGTCCCTGAAATGCATCACTGTTGCTTTCCTGCCACATGCACCTCCTGCAGCAGAGGGACAGACAGAGGCTCAGCACAGACAGGGTCAGGCCCCGCTGCCCCTAACACTGCAGGGATTCATACCCCAGGCATTTGTTTGCCTCTCAAGGGAGCTGGGAAGCATTGATACCTGCTCTGCTAGGTTTGCACATGCACCTCCATGCACAGGCCCGCAGAGATGCACCAATATGAGGAGCCAACGGGCTTGTCACAGGCCCACGGGCCCTGCCAGGCATGGAGGGGGCGATGCTGTACCGTGGGAATCCAGAGCGGACATGCAGCCCGTCCACGTTCTGGCTGACCAGGAACTTCAGGATGCCAGCTCTCTGCAGCTCCAGCAGTGCCATGTGTGTCTTGGAGGGCTTGGCATTCTCAAAGGTGGTGTCGAACTTGGGGGACAACCCCTTTTCCTCCATGGTCCAGACGCCATTGGGCCCCCTGTGGCGGAGAAGAAGGGAGAGAGGTCAAGGAAAGAGCAGGGGCTAGGCAGCAGTCTGCGGATGCCAAGCCAGTCTGCGCTAAGGGGTAGCGCTGCTAAGTAACGGGACCTGCTGCCAGGGTCTGTCTAGTCTTGATGTATTGAGGATAGAGGTGGGGCTTCAGCAGCGATCTTGACGCTTCTTTTAATGCAACTGCAGGCTACAATTTCATACTGAGCAGGATGAGAAAGAGCAGGGCAAGAGCAAGGACCTGAATCAAAGCCAGTGCTCAAGGCACCAGTAGGCAAGCAGCTTCCACCTGGTCCAACTGGCCCCGAACTGCCAGTCAAGAGCTCCTGCAGGCCATGGGGCAGGGGGGTCATTAGGTTTCATGAGCAGGAGTGGGGCAAGAACACATCAGCAGCAAGAGTTGGGTGCTGCTAATGAGGCAGGAGGGGGGTCTATGGGCAGGGTAACCTGAGGCAGGGTCTGCACAGGGCTCACTTGGTCCCGTGAAGTCAGCGCATCCTGCCTGCCATGGAGACAGATGAGAGTAACAGGAGCAACAAAGCCAGGGGTGTCTCCAGAAGCCCGTGTTCCTCCTGCCCGTCCCTTCTGACCCAGTTCTGCCCTTGGCATGTAAGCGACGCTCCCACAGGTACCGCCAGGTAACATGCACTGCACCCAACCATCCTCAAGCCCAGACCACTGACCCCTGCGGACTGCCTGAGAAACCACAGGCAGGCTAATTAGCACCGTGGTGACTGTGCTGATTAGCTTGCCCCTGAGTTAATTAGCCCCCCACAGCACTGCAAAGCCATAGCTGCCTTGCTTGCGGTTTGGGAAACAGGCTGCCAGGAGCAGTGGAGCAAGCTAGAGGAAGCCACTGTAAAGTTTACCTCCTAGGACCTGGCTTAAGCAATCTCTGGGTTCAGCCTGGACAGCAGCACAGGCCCTTGCCTAGGGAGCAGCGCGCCACGTGGCAGCTTTGACACAGGATAAGACTGGTGGGACCCAGATGATCCCGCTGCAGGCTGGATAACATCACAAGGAAGTTTTTCCCATGCTTTGCAGAACACAGAAATGGTGCATCCACTTCTTTCCCTGATATGCCAGCCCATACACTGAGCCTCTGTGACCAAGACCTTCCTTATGCCCTGCCCACACTGTTTTTTCTTCATTTTCATCCCATTGCTTTTAATTACATCCCCTTAAAACATCCCCTCTCCTGGGTGCTTTCACACCAAGGCAACACCTGCTCTTGCCTGGGCTGTGATACACCCTTGGGCAACTTCAGTGTCCTTCATAGCTGAGCATGGATCATTGCTGTCAGAGCAGAGCCCTGCGGGCCAGGGGAACCACCCGGCAGGGAGGTTCTGGGTACCACCGCATCACCAGGGAGTGGGTGTATCTAGAAGAAACTGCACGGCATCAGTTTATACACGCAATCCCCTCTCTGGAGGGATGAGATGCATGGGTCTGGCTGTAGCCACAGCCCTCAGCAGCAAAGGGAACCAGCAGGGAGCAGCCACAATGGGAAACTCAACTATGGTAAAATACCAGGCTTAATCCCCCAAGAAATCGCCCCAGTGGGCACCACAGACCCAACCCCTGTTCACAGGCTTCCCAGGCCAGTCTCCAAAGGCATGGTGTCACCTGCTGTTTAAAAGAACAGACCAGCCCAGGGATAGAGAAGCTGCTCAGTATTAGGAGACAGCCTCAAATGTAACTACCTAGTTTCACAGAGTCTCTCTGGGCTCCCCCGCTACCCAGCACACACCAAACAACTGTACTGGGTGGTGAACGCTGGGATACGGTTTTACTACCGCAGAACCGGCACCAGAGAAATGTCCCATGGATTTCAATGCACGATCACAGCCCATTTGGGCCATGAAGTAGCAAACCCGAGACCAAACTACAGCTAAGAGCTCATAGAAGGAAAGCAACCTTTTCACATCCCGACATCCCACAGCCACAGAGAAGCGTTTTGAAAAAAATATCCGAAAAACAACAGCTATAATTAATAAGGAAACAGGACATCTTCCCTACAGCACTTAACCCACTGAGTCACTAAGCCAGGACTGGCGATGCTGCCAGGATTAAATCACTTTTCATTAGCAAACACCATCAGTGTTATCACTCCAGGCACCTTCCATCACACCCCCACCTCCTCACAGCCCCGTTCCTCCGCAAATCTTAAGGCATTTTCTAAACTTTTGCAAAATGCCTGTGCCTGCTTCTCTCCCAGAGACCCAAGCAAGAATACTGCGACCCCAAAGCCTACACCAACCACGCAGTTTCTCCAATACAAGATATCACCCACATGAATTCTTGCCTGTGCACTACAGAGATTTTATAGGTGGTGAAACCGAAGTACAGAAATATAAATCAATTTTTATAGCCGCATAGCAACCAGGAGAAGAAAGCTAACGCTCAGCATGCCACGTTACCCATAATCCCACTCTGCTTCAACAACACAGGATCTCTCTTCCTTCACCTGAAGTCGGGGATCCCTGCGGCTGTGCTGATCCCAGCCCCGGTGTGAAACACCACGTTGGAAGAGCTCCTGATCAGGTCGGCCAGCTCACGCACTTTCCTCTCCAGCTCCTCCGGAGGATCAAAGATCTGATGGAAAGAAACGGAGACAGAAATAAGTTTCCCACGTGACCCCAAGCGCAGGAAGAGACGATACATCATTTCTCTTCAGCCGTGGAATAAACCTAGCATGGAGAACAAGATTACATTGCTGCTGATAGGTAAAGTGCATCAGCACTTAACAGGGTGGAAAGAGCATTATCTTAGAGAGGACACGACACCTCTCCGCTCAGGACATCCAGATCTTCCTTTCCAATCTGCTTCAGAGAAGCAAGGAGCTGCTCTGGATTTCAGCAAGTAATTAACTGGCTGAGAAATACTTTGCCCTCTCACTGCTGCTCTCTTCAAAGCAGGTAACAATAGATACCCTCCCTCCTTGCCTCCATTTTACAGGTGGGAAAACTGAGGCTTTACTAAGTGACATGACTTGGCCACAGCAGAACCAGAAAAAGATCTCGGGGCCTCCGAGGCCCAGCCCTGCGCCTCTCAGGCAGCTAATAAATGCCACCAGCCTGCAGGAAGGATGGCGCGAGAGACAGGCCAAGCCTCCAGACCAAAGCCCAATGCTCGCTGCCCGCGGGCGACGCTGCCGAGCAACACGTCAAAGGCAACGTTAGTCTCCGTGGGGCTGGACGGACACCAGCCCTGCCCTGGGGTGACAGGCCCTGCTCCACCGAAGGGGACAGACGTCGCGGTGCAGACCCCCTGCCCGCCGGGCTGACAACCTGATGGCACGTGGACGCTGGTCCCCAACCCACGCCTGCCATGTTGCATGTGGGGGGGACACACACACCCCAGCTACAGGTGAGCGCCAGCCCCTGCCCAGGCAGGAAGCCCAGCCCAGGCCTCCCCAATTCCTGGGGCAAGGAGCGCTCTGCAGCGCCCGGGCCGGGGGCACCCCCGCGGCAGGCTGGGCTAGCGGGGCTTGCCCCAGCTCGTGCGGGGCTTGCACCCTGGCACCCCACTGCCCCTCCTGCGCCTGCCAGAGTGGGGGCGCGGGGAGCCCAGGTGCCTTGTCCCCTGGGCAGGGGATGGAGGGGGCCAAGGCAGGAAAGGGGCCAGACCCCAGGAGGGGGTGATGGGGGCGGGGCGAGAGCCCAGAAGGTGGGGGGGCGGGGCCAGGCCCCAGGATGGGGGAGAATGGCG